AGATTTTTAGGAAAAGCAGGGTTTTGACGGTAAAAAGCCAAAGTGAAACGCACTTAAGTTTGGATAAAATATGATAGTGCCCAACAGCATTTGATTTGCACTTGAAGTAGCATTGCCTGGCAACCCCAAAATGCACCCTGACGTCACAACTGGATGACGTCAACTGCCGACACCCAAGAGATCGATAGAAATATTCGCAATTCAAGTTTCTGCCTTGCTGTGCGATCAACGCGCGAGACACACGCTGTGTCGGCGCCAAATTTTTAAACCTTGCTTTCTCAGAATTATAACATAACTGACACTTTATTTTAGCTGATGCAAGCTGAGGCACTAATAATCTACGGAGTAAACAAATAGATTCCATATTCCATTCTCCATTTTGGTGTGTATTTCGGTTCACTTGATAGAGGTCTAAGTGTAATAGCAAGAAAAAAGGGACGAATAGCTAGAACAGTACTTCGATTGTATGATTTATGACTGGGCGGACACAAGGCAAAATGAAATTGGAAGCTATTTGTTTCATACGAGAACAGCTGAACTTAATCAGAACTCACCTTGATCGTGGTGCTGGACTCTGGCAGGAAGATTCGTTCCGGTTTTGGCGTTTTCCAAGTAACCAAACATTCTTCCTTTACATTTCTCTTTTTCTTACTTGAAAACAGTTTCTGCTAACCTTTTCTCGCCTCTTTTACTTTCCGAAACCGGAATAAAGTCGCAAACATTTTCAAAACTATGCGCCATGAGCCACGCCATGTTGGACAAAAGACAAACTTGTGTCCAGTTTCTCAGTTTCTTTGTCTTCCAGGGAAAAAAGAGAGAGGCTGGAATTGCACGACTTGATCACGTGATCAACTTTCGGTAAACACGAAAACAGTTCACTAACCTGAGAACAGGCTCTCTGTCTATGCACGAAAAGAATGAAGCCTACGAATACAGCCGTCTCTCCTCCTCGCCGCTTGGGACGTCTCGTAGGACTCAACCACAGAAATGCCATACTGACGACGTAAAAGCTTTCCGGAATCTGGTCAGGAGCTCTGATGGTCTTCAGTATGGCATTTCTGTCTTTGAGACACAGACGTCTCTCTCGTGAAACGTCCCAAGCGGCAAGGAACGCAGAAAGACGGCTGTATTCGCAGGCTTAGGAAAATGCCAGGTTTTTCACCCTAAAAATTGGACCACATTTGGATACTACTTTAAACGAATTTCGTAGGGATAAATGACACCAAACGGTGTAGCTACTGTAGAAGGTCTCTAGAAAAACTGAAAAGAGTTACAAAAATTTCAAATTTAAGGCTGAACAGGTTCTTGTATAGAGGGGGCCTAACTGGCAACTTTTAGCCTAAAAGGTTCTTGAAAACTAGGCTCTTACTCGCGGGTTTTTACTGTAGTAGTCATTTCATTTTGGACCCAATTACAAATCTATACAGGCTCATTATTCACGATACCGTAAAATTCCGAAAATAAGCCCTAGGGCTTATATTTTTAAAGACCCTTTTTGAGGGGCTTATTTTTTGAGGGGCTTATATTCGGAGAAGCTTATCTACGGAGGGAAATTTGCGTTTCAAAATCGATTGGGCTAGCCTTATAGTTTGAAGTAAATATATCGTTTTTGCTTTGTTTTATTTTGTACTTGAGGGCAGTTTTCTAAGTTCAAGCCACCGGGGGGCTTACATTTGGAGGGGCGATTTAACGGAGGGTTTTTGCGGTACCGGTTTGGGGGGCTTATATTTGGAGGGGCTTATACATGGAAGGGCTTATTTTCAGAATTTTACGGTATCTGGCTTGAGGATAGAAGACATAGAAGGGATCAAAAACAGGAAAGAAAACGTATTAAAAAATTTCTTTTGCTCAATACTTGTTCATTGAGTGAATATAACAAGGAACTTTTCATATAATCTATAATAAACCACTACCTTGTATTAGAACTCTCGTTCCAACAAGACAATACTAAAAAGGCTTTAATTAAAGCAAAGTGTACGTGCAAATATATTAAGTTAAGGTAAATGTTCTTGGAACAAGAACCAATGTGTTGTCCCGTGCAAGGTAATTCAAAATCAATTCTGGGATGCGAGAATTTTTTGTACTGGATTCTCCGGACTACAAGTGACACGCCGTGACGGCTCAGCGTTCCAGTTTTATTAGACTGGATTTTGGAAAGGAGTATTTTGGATTCCAGAACCGAAACGTTTGAAAGAAGATTAACGGAAGGTTTGGTATCAATAATGAAACGTTCTTGGACTACCTAAACAGTCTGGATACCATGCTGTGGATTCCGGATCCCTTCTCAGTAAAACTTGGATTCCAGATTCTACTTGCTATAAGCGGGTTTCCACGAATTCCTTGAGCTCAATTCCAAATCCCAGGATTCCATTATATACCACAAGTAAAAATTTCCCAGATTCCGGATTTCCGGCTGATTACCTCACACGGGGGGATACCTTGCATGGGAAAGAACACCGACCGACTGTCACTAAAAGGTAACAGTCCCCCCCTAACATCACCAAGTAACTGTACATAAACATATTGACGCCATATCAATCAACTATACAAGGCAGTGAGACGGGTAGGTTTGGGTACATTCCCCAAATAGGTGGTCTTGTTGCAAGAGAGGTCAAGCTGATAATAGGTAACCTTGCCAAAAATAGGGAGCTTTAGCAATGACGACGGCGACGGCAACGAGAACGTCAAAAAAGTAAGAGGTTAATGAAGCAAAACAACAACTTTGCACGTGCATCACACTTTTTATACATTTCTTTGCCGTCACTACACGACTATACGACGTGAAAATGCCCAATTTCACGTTTTATAGAGGACGTAAACAAGCGACGACGAATTTTTTTTCTCTTTCTCTTTCTAAACTGAAGGCGGTCCCCCATTTGACATTTTGAGCGAACTGGAATAAACGCGACAAAGTGTGAAAAACGTGAATTCATTTTTAAAGTGATGCTCCCGCCGCCTTCGCCGCCGTCGATGCTAAGCTCCCTAATATGGAGTTTGAGGCAACGAGAACGCTTAAAAGTAAGAGAAGGTCTCTGCGCGTGTAATATACAGTTACTTTTTGGTACATTTTAGAGCAGCACCTACAAAACCGTACGACAAAAAAAATTTCAAAGCCAGGTTTCATCTTATCTCAGTGTAACGGTCTGCGACAGTATCGGAAGCTTTCTACAGCGGACGTATCACAGAAGGTCCTACACCACAACAAAATATATTCATTCATTTTAGCGATCGCAGACAAACAAAATTTGTTTGACCTGATTTTGGTGCGAAAATAACTCCTAGACGATACGATACGAAAAACGACAAGCTTTTTTAACAGAAACAAGTGTGTCGTCGACAAGTCACAGATCATGGCGCAGTGACGCAAAGGTAGGGAAAGTAGAACCAGATTCAACTCTTTCGATCGCGCCCAAACCATACGCCATCGACCATCGCAGACGCTGCAACCAAAATGTTTTCATATTTCTGCGATGTGTCGACGCAGACCGCTTCAGACCACCGCAGACAATTACAGATCATACGGAAACCAGGCTCAATTCTAATTCAACGTCGCAGCCACAAGACGACGAATTTTTCTATCTCTTTCTCAGTGAACTTGGTACGGTCCCAGCCTTAGAATTCAAGTCCAGAAAAAGGTGCCTAACTGTAGAGCGAGTTAGAATAATCACGATAAGTTTGAAAGAACATCAATTTACTTTTTACCTAACATAAACTTATCGTAATTTGACCTTAACAAAATGTGGCATCCGCTACTGAACATCACAGACAAAACTCACAAAGGCGCGCAAAGGTTGAAGATAAAAACGCCAACCAAAAAATGTTCATGTGATTTCTAGCACGGTCTTTTCAGTGATGCCAGTGACGCACTGAACGCAAATAACCGTGGTTTGCCTTTGCGGTCACTGAAACAGCAGCATCTCAAGAGCAGTTTCTTGTCATGTTGTTTTTTCCGTGGCTTTTTTCCGCTGATAAATTTTTCATACTTGATTTTTTTCATTTTTAATTTCTAACTTTTGACAAAGCAAATAACTCTAGAGCTGGTTAATAAAATGGAGTCCACCCGGCCTTAAAAAAAAACTGCGTCCTACGCAATTTTCAATTTGGCCAGTGTAAACAGTGTCAAATCAAGAACGAAGTTATTGGAGATTAGAAAAAAAAAACAGTTATGGCCGGTTATTTTAAAGAAGTCTAGCTTCTGGATAACATTAAGAATATATGGCTCTTCAAGTCTAATCCTAAAGTTGGCTCCCCCAACACCACTACCCCCCTACCCTACCCCCACCAAAAAAAAAACAAGAAAAAGAAAAAGAAAGGAAGGAAGGAAGAAAGGAAGCCATCAATAAGAGAATCCGATCGTTTGCATCTAAATTTTCGAATAACCCACGTGTCCATTCCGAGCGACCCATTTGGTCATGTTATTTTTCCTTGAAAAGGGAATAACAAAAGTTCAAAGGGTTCGTGGTTGAAGTGATCATGAATGCTCACGAAATAACTTTCCAGCATGGGAGATCAATAGGAAAAGTTGCAAGGACACTTACTATTGTTTACATGTTGAGCAGAGGCAGAGATGTTTCAACAGAATTCTATCTTCGTAGTTTTTCAGAGCATTTGAACCAACAAACGTCGCTATCGCATTTTTGAAAATAAGGGAAAATGACATGAGCCAACGGGCCAATCAAAACAGCCACAAGGGGAATTAAAAAATTCAAACACAAACAATCGTTGTTTTTAGGGTGCTAACAGTTAAATGATTTTGCTTGCACTGAGTAGGATTTTAAGGAAAACTACTTGAAAACATATACCATAGTTTCAATTGAATACTAGCACCAAAGGATTTCATCCACTTAAATGTTAAAACATCACATGTTGCCATAAAGGACTCACAGATGAAGTGGGTGAAGGAGTTAAGAGAAACTTCAAATACTAAAATTCATATTTTAAAGCATCTACTTCAAAACATAAATCATAGTGTGCATTGACACAAGGCATGTTCATCTCTATCAAGTAGAGCTACTATCCCACCATCTTTCATGGGCACCTTTCATTTCTTGAATTACCACCATTACCGCTTGCTTCTCGACATTTTTTGGCGGCAGAGGGCAGGTACGAAAGCTAACTACATCTCCTTCTTTTGGTACAAACTCCCCTTCAATACTGAAAAGAGAAAACAAAACGTACAATGTAACAAACCAAAAGGCAGGTCTCTCAATCTCAACTTTTTGAAGTCCAGGGAAGGGCTGCTGTCCTATTTTCTTACAATAAAAATGACTTATTATCATCCTAGCCTGAGAAACCAGCCAACATTTCGTGACACAACCGGTGGTTTCCTCGCGAAATGACATCTTCTAAATGGGGGGCAGAAATTCCATGCTGATGACATGTCACTACCCAGATCTGCATAATGTTTTCTGATTGGTTGGAATTCTTGCACTCATTTCTCAGACATCATTTTGTGAGAAAACCACCAATGGCGTCACAAAATGTCAGCTGTTTTTTCAGGCTATTACAATCCATGATTCATCGCTTTGGAACAGGTTAATTGATGCCCAGTGAGCTCTAATCCTGGGGTGACTGCTAAAACAACATATGAGTTGCCATATCATGTAACCCCTTGCACTAATAGGCCTTTGACCAATTCAGCCCCAAACTATCTAATTACAGTAAAATATTTCTGTGTATGTGTATCTACACCCCTGATACATGCAACATAAAAAAAATGTTCCTTACTCAGAAATGTGAACAAATATGTCTTTTCCACCATCATTTGGTGTAATGAAGCCGTGTCCTTTGTTTCGACAGAAGCTCTTGCATACCCCCAATTGCTCTGGAGATTCTGAGGCTATCCTAGATCTAAAAGAAAATATTGTTGTTCAACTCCTTGGTACAAATGGAGGAGTAGTGCCCTAGGGGGCCCAAGGGCTGCAAACGCAATGACCCTAAAGTGCTAGAAACCCGACTGGCCCAACCAATACAGCAACCCAGCCATGAGCCCCTCGTTCCATGGCCCCTCCCAGTAGAGCACCTCTCACACTAAAGCCCAAAGGCTCAGCTGTGGAAAACGATAATAACAAGAAAAGAAAAATAAATAACTAAAATTAACACATGTATTATAACAAAAAGAAATACAATACAAACAAAAATTGTAGAGAGGAAAATAAAATAAGAAAACAAAAAGAGGGCTGGGGCAGGGGGCAACAATGTGCTAATTTTTTGTCAGAAATTTTGTGTTTATAAGTGAGAGCCTCTCACTATCTTTTAAGGCTAATGATCCAAATCGCTTCCATTTTCTCTTAAAAGTACTTTTTCCTTTAAAATTCATCACAAAAAGCAGTTATGGACTCCTAACATGGCAAACTGGCACGCAAACAGCAAGCAATTGAAACAACACTTTGCGAAGAACTGCAAGCAAGCAACTGCGTATATAAGTCACGAGGTGCCCCTGCTAGAGACATCGGGCCACCCCTAATATAGCTGGGGAAACAGCTGACCAGCATTGCTTCGAGGTTAACTTTGCCTAAATTACATTTAGCCACATCTAAAAAACCAAACCTATAGCAATATGACCAAAGTAAGCCACACTTCGCTAAGCCAACGTAAAGGTTGCCTCAAAACCCACAATGCAACTTGACATCCATCTGGATGACATCGAGGCACCACCAACCAAACCTGATAGACTTATAGCAAAGAGACGATCACACCCCGCTTGCAGTCCTAGTGGGAGTCATGTGCATTGCAAATTCCCACAAAATAATACACTTGCTTTCGTGAGGAACAAATATATTCATGGTAATCTTAGCCTGCGAGCAGACGATAACTAAACTCTGATTAGTATCGTCTGCAAAGCAGCGCAGAGATCCTTGTTCTGAACCCCCAACGGACTCAACGAATTACTGGAAGTGCGTTTCGAATTTCCCATCAACCGGATTGGCGATCACAACAAACAAAAGAAAGGGATTTTTTAACTGGCCAATCGTGGCGCGTACTCAAATCTGGGTACACAACTGGAAGTCCAGAACAAGGATTTCGGCGCTGTTTCGCAGACGGAGTTAACCAGAGTTTAATTTCGTCTGCGCGCAGGCTAGTTAATCTTGGCTCAAGTAATGCTTTTCTTTGTACATCCCCCACAGTTTCATTGATAGATTTCAGAGGAAAAAAATTCAAGGTGTTGAAGGTAAAAAGCAAAACATTTATTGGATGAGGTTTTTGAGATAACCAGAATAATCAAGGTTAAGGTAAGTGTTTTAAGCCAAGGCTGAAGGGGGCGGTTTGAAAGCGCTAACCTGAAGGTTGTGCTGATTTCAATCAAAGGGTGCCTAAGGCTAACTTGTGGATTACCGGGGTACTGTATTTTAGAAAAAAGCTGATAATGAACCTGCAATTAGTCTACCAGTATAATTTACAGTATATATTTGATTAACCACCCAGGGCGCTTATTAAATTTTTGGACCTTGAGAGTGGGTGCTTATTCGAGGCTGGGGGCTTGTGAAATTTTCACCATTTTCAGCAAGTGAAGTATGTTTATTCGCAACAAAACCATAAATGCTAATAACAAAACACGAAGAAGTAACAAACCAGGTTTCTTTAAAATACTCCGAAGGAAACTCCATCCTCGGGGAAGTCTCTTATTAGAATTTATTCACTCAAGTGGCTGGGGTGGGGGTGAGCATGGCTTTGACAGTTAAAGCTGTACTTTAACTCATTTTGCTGCCTTTGAAGAACATATGGCCGACAAGTGTCTCGCAAAACTGTCGAAGTCTCTTGCAGCTTGCCATTCTCGGCTTTTACATGGGGAGAATCACTTACGATTCAGTTACAGTAAATATTTCTGTTTTATTGAATAAAGAAACATTTCATTTCAGAACGATATTTCACTAAAAACCATGAAAAAAGTTGAAACATCGTGAGACTCACAGCAGAATTGTGAGCTTGGACCAGCTTCGCTTGGAGTCGAAGAGCAATTGCTGATCTTTTCTGCATCATGTTTATCGCCTGGATAAGTAAAAAAGCTTCAAAATTTCATAAACTTCTGTCTCAAAGTTGACCAAAAATTAGTTCTAATTTGAAACATTCAAAGTCCACATCAAGCCAATCGTCCTGCGACTCCTGTGAAATGTAGAAAATCAGCACACCGAGGAACATGGACAATCTACAACAGTTGTCGTTTTGACATCAGGCACTTTCGTGTGGAACTGACTGATTTACGGAAGGTGTCTACATCTGAGTGACAAATTTGCATATCACAGTGCCCACAATTACTTGTTCCTTACTTGCTCCAATGAATTTATCCCAACGAATCCACACATATAATCAATGGTACATCATACACGTAGCTTCCCCTCAATTACTACAAATTTAGTGTTGGGATTTGAGAACCTCTTTGGCATAGTCCTATCCTATGACCGCCCCCTCCCCCACCCCTCCGCTTCCCTCAAACCCATCCTAGAGGTCGTGAGTTATAAAATGTACCAACCAAAGAGCATCACTTCTAGTAGCCATGCCCTGAATCATGTTTAAATCATATGTTGATGTATAATGTGCCATGCTAGTGTTCTTCAAAGTAAATTTGCTTATTTCTATTGGTTTCTGTTTCGCCCTGTCTTTAGTGAATTGAAAGAAATACCAAATACATTGTACAGATTAGAAAGCTTGTAAGCCAGAAAGGTCAAGGTGACATGGGCTGGCTATTACGTTGTTGAAGCTCCAACAGATAGCTTAGACAAGTTAACAGTACACATCTCACTCAAACAAAAAGATATCTAAGACAAATTTTCTCGACAAGGGAGAACAAACAACCCACATCAGTGTTGATATTTAAACGCCCTTCAAAAGGTGTTAAACGATTTGGAATTGGATCAGATTTATTACACCTGATAAATGAAAAGTTTTCCTGTTCGCCAAAAAGCGACGAGCTGAGGTTGCCTGCCATTTTGACTTGTATCCACTGACTGACCGCATTTATTGCTATGTACTCACTGTGAAGATGTCCTTGTTCGTCTAGTTGGTACGGGGCTAGGTATTTTGAAAGGGAATTTTCTACCGTGAGGCGGGGAAGCCTCAGGTGAGCCGCTGGAAGTTCGACGCTTGGTCGGCCCAGCGTGCACGACTTTAGAAGGACTTGGAGGGGGTTTCTCTCCATCTTCAACATGACTTCCGCTTTCTTCCTTCGCATCTGATGACATTTTTAACTACAAGGAACGAAAGCGAGGAAGAAATACTCAGTTTAACATTCAAAGAACTTTCTGTATTTTCCGTGGCGAGAAAGCCAAAATATGGGGTTGCATGACAATTCGTTTTAATATGGCTTCTAAGCGGATAATATATGCACAGACTCATAATTTGCAACATTGTTATTCGCTGATTTTCGGACATATAAAGCTGCTACTTGAAAAACACAATATCCCACCTGTTTGAAGAATTATCCCGGAGAAATAACTGAAAATTGCAACAAATTCTTTTTCGCACGGTTCCAAACACTCACCGATCCCCACGAGGAGTTGCAGTCCCTAACCCTCCTCGGTGAAATTGGGTGGACAAGAGAGACTGGGTAACAAAACAACATGGCGGCGTTGTGACAGATATTGAATTTCGAAACTGCAAATTGATAAAGATAGAAAATGCTGGTGGATTCATCCGTCTTTTGGGTTACAAACTTAGATTGTGATGGTTAGCATGTTTCTTACGTCTCAGAAAGCTATAATGAGCGGTAAGTTGAATTATTAACCATCGCCCTCTCTGTGTTCCGGAATAATGCATTGTCACGTCACAAGCTTGAGCTCAGAATTCTTCCTTGATGGTAACTTTTCTCGATCTCTTTCGTAAAGGCCAGCTTCAAAATGCAGAGAGTGAACGCCAACATCTTCTAGAAAGATTGCTTGATGCTGTTAAGCAGGTACTAAAACAATTCCCAACGTTGTCAGTTAAATAAATAAATCTGACCTTGCTGATATGTTCTATCACTGATATTATCTGAGATTTTATTCCTCTCTTTACTGCTGCTAATTATTTCAACATGACGGTGTCCAACAAGAAAGCTCTTGCTACTTTGGACACTGTACACAAATGAACTTAATGTCTTTTAGTTAATTATTATTTGTCAGCTACTTTATTTTCCTACCTACGTACACTTATGTAAATAACTTATATAGTGTAAAATAAAAAAATGAATTAAATTGAATTGAATTGAAATATAACGAAAACATTCATGGCGACGTACTGTGAGCTCTTACTTTCTTAATTTGGCCTCAAATGTTAGTCCTAAACGTTTAGAAGGCATGTTTTCATGAGATGTTATGGCAAGATTTCTGTATAATCATAGAAAAAAACAGGAGTCAAAGAAAGTAATGACCTCCTACTGATCCCTGACGCCTGTTGATTCCCCTAATTAAAAATAAATTCGTCTTTTTAAAAAAAAAACACTCAAGGTGGATTGCAAAGCCTTTTTTGTTGAAAAAGTAATATCTGGCTCAAAACCTTGAGAAATCATGTGATTTGCATTTCAATATAGACATGTATATGGTCTTGGCCGGCCTGGAGTCTCTTAGTGACAGGAGAGTAGGAGCTTGTAAGTGGTTTATGGCTACTGCACGCCAAATGTCCCCCCCCTTAAGAACGACATCCCCTCTCCTGCTGCTATTGAGTCTCATTACAGTATAAGGGTCCAACTTTTAAGATGTAAACATGGTCATACCAGAAGAATTAATGACGTTGTAACTTATAAATTTTAGTGAATGTATGTAAATGGTTAATTGTATGTGACAATGACCTTCCCCAGCAATTCAGTTATTGCTGCAAGTGGGTGAAATAAGCAGAATATCTATCTATCTATCTATGTATCCCCTTGAGTATGTAATCTATTTATCTGAGTACTTGGTTTCTTCCCAAAAATGGGCAATGTTATCATTGTATGTGGCTAAATTATTGACCAATCAGAGTTCTCAATGATTGATCACTTGGATAAGCCAGTTTACTTTAAATTGAGTTGTATAGCTTTAAAGTATAAATCTAGGATAGGAGACACAAAGGAGCTGCTGAATATAGGGTGCATTCCATTGGGATGATCCGGATCAGGATCAGTGATGCGAGATCACTCAGATCATAGCACATCAAAGGAACTGGCGAGCCCACGCTAAGAAAGGATTCATCCGTTAATTTTGTGTACCATGAATCACTCGGATCACTGATCTAATCCATATCATCCCAAAGGAAATCCCTATAGTGTTAACATATGTAGAAAAGAAAAACAAGGACGCTTTCCTTTTGTCAGAACTGACCAACCAGACCATTCCCGTTGTAATGAGAATTTCACTTTCAATCAAAACTATCCAGCCAGATCAGTCAAATCCTGAATAGTGTGAATGAAGGAGAAGGTTTTTCAACAAAAACCCTTTGGAAAAAGCGGATTTCATTTGCTAACTGACTGGTCCTACAGGCCAGATCTGACAAATCCTAAATAGTATGCATGAAGGAGAAGGTTTTTCAACAAAAATCCTTTGGAAAAAGAGGATTTCATTTGCTAACTGACTGGTCCTACACGCCAGATCAGTCAAATCCTAAATAGTATGCACGAAGGAGATGGTTTTTCAACAAAAACCCTTTGGAAAAAGCCAATTTCATTTGCTAACTGACTGGTCCTGCAGGCCAGATCTGACAAATGGAAAGTGCCTTAGAGTCCCAGATATGTACTGAGTGACTCCCAATCCCACAACACCTCTCCGTTCCAACCCCACCCAGCTTTATTTATTTTATTTAGTAAAACAGCTTTTTCAATAAATTTCAGTGTCAGGTGAGATTTGGAGGTAAAACTGAACTTGCAACTGATGGAGACAGCAGGTATTGAGCATGTTTTTAATGATTTTTCTGCCTCAAAACTGACTAAAATTTAGACTACTAAAAATAAAGATTTAGGTTATATGCTCTCCCAGGTTTATAAATGTTGTGCTGTTTAGAAATTTATTGCAATAAAAATAGTGGGACACAGACCTAAAAGGGGTTGGCCCCAGTGTAGGTGATCAGTGACCTTGAATGGCAAAGAAAAACATTCTTTGAACCACTAGGTTAGCAGATGTACACCAGATCCCTTAGTTAACAAAGTGAAAATTAATATTGCCCTGTTGTACTAGAAGTGCAGTGGTCAAGCAATTTACCTCCTGGAAACCTCATATCCAGGTTTAAGCCTTCCCATTGCATTGTTTTCTTAGACAAGAAACTTTGCCTGAAAAATTAGAGATTAAAGAAGTTTTAAACATAACTTTTCCCCTTGAAGGTTAATAATTCTATTCTTTTTTAGGGTTGTTTGTCTTTTGACTCAATATGAAGCAGTGTTTCAGCATGGTTTTAAAAGGACAAGAGCTAGTGCGTTTAGGTACAGTAGAGTAAAATTAATTTTGCTCGTCTGCATCAATTTTTTTTTGGTCTGTGTGAACCTTTTAAAATGAGTTTAGCTTTAATCTTTAATGTTTTATTAATTTATTTACTTTTATTACAGACAAGTTGGTCAAGTTGCTGGAATTGTTAAACTGGATTCAGAGGCAGGTGGGTGGATAATTAGCGGCCTTCTCAACCCTCCACGTTAAAGGTTTTGCTTGGTCGCCATTTGGCAACCAATAATCTTTTGGTTTAGCGAGACTTTTTTACAAATCAAGTCGCCAGCTTCAAAATTTTAGGTGCCATTGCGACTAAAATGGTTGCAACTTGGAGGGTTGCTTCTGGTCCAGTTGCAAAATATCAGCTTCCAAAAGTTCATGCATGCGCAGAAAGCAAAAAAGTTTTGAGATACTTTCCTGGTATAAAAGTGACACAGCAGTCTTGACTTTTTCCTTGCACTTTCACTCCTTCCCACCCCTTTTTCTCTTGTTTCCCACTTTTTAGTTTATTTGTTTGTTTTGCTGAGCATTATTTAATACAATGTAGGCCTAATTTCGGTGGGAAATGCTTTTGGGATTGTAGGATTAAATGGAAGGAACCACACAAAATTTTCAGGTCTACTTTATAAATAGTGTTTTGCCTTTTTTCTCCGGCAAACTTGACTAAATTGTGATCAGTCTGGTATTGTTTGAAGATCTCTTTCTCCTGCATAACGTATATGACAGAGTTGTTTAAATTGTTGACATCACAAGCAACACCAGGGACGTGGATCTCAACATGCGGTGCAGGGGCGAATGGGTTAAAGAAACATTTTGTGTTATCATAACTGATAATAAATTTTTATTGGATCTTGGAATAAAGGCTCAACATTATTTATGTACTATGGGCTTATTCATATTCTTTTAATTTTCCTTGCCTCATTTGACTGTCTTTTATACACTATCTGATTTTGTGAACAAGACGTAGTGTTTTATTTCTCTTAACCTAGTTTTCTGGAACTTTGTAAAAGTCCATCTGGGAAAATTAGAAGAGGAAAGGTTTATTTCTCTGCAGAAAGCAACAACAGATGCTGGAAAAGGTCAGTGAAGTAGAGGCCCATTGTGCAGGGCAGCGTAGGTTCCCTGCCATTTTTCTTGGCACACAGCCTTGGTTCAACCTTGGGATCAATTCAGGTTTCCGGGAAACTGCCCACCTACCCCTCCCCTAAACCACCATAAACTCTTACCTCTCACTTAGGGAAAAATGTTGGCTAAGTGGAGGGGTAGGTGAACAGTTTTTCAGAAACCTAAATACTGATCCCCCAGGGAGGGTGTCTTCTCCTGCTGTTCAAAAAAATCAGACACCCCTCCCCCTCAGTCTGGTTCATTTGCCTATTACCAGTCCTTATTCACTATGGAACATGAGAAATTGCCTGGGAATGAAAAAATCAGGTCTTCCTGTCAAGCAAACGTCTCCCCAGCATTATATCAAACGCGGTTACAAACCAAAGTTTGAAAAGGAACTTTGAAAAACTGTTAGGCTAATGAGTATTCAAAAACCACAATATTGCAGTCCGTTTCAGTCCTTGAGTTTGTCCATCAACGTCCCCTTTTCTCTTTGCTCAGGGCCCAGTTGTTCAAAGGCTGATCAGCGCTTAACCCAGGGTTAAATTTAACCCGGGTTTCTTTTTATTTTGTTCAAAAGCATTTTCTTGAATAATTTTCTTTGTTATTTTTAAGAGCATCAAATCATCAACTTCAGCAGTGTTAATACTTTCTTTTCATGTTTTGATTGGTTATTTTTATGTTTCACCCAGTTTGGTGGCAGTTGCCACTGTTTAAAGTTTGTTAAATTTCGTGACACATCTCCTTTATTCATTTAGTTGAAATAACTTAGGCGTTGTTTTGTTATCATAAATAAGTGAAACTAAGGGACAGACCATTAGAAAACTTATGGAGTTGTTAGGGGGGGGGACCTTGCGAAGTGTAAAAAATGTTCGTGCAATAGAAAATTAAATGAAAAAATTCGTCCACGCCAAGTAACCCCTTTTTGTCCCTAAAAAATATTCATGCCCTTCCCTAAAAAAATTCTTACAAGGGAAATGTTAACAAAAAGTATTCAAGCGGCTCGAAAATTTCCCACCCCCCCCCCCTCCCCTCCCCCTCTATAACTTTTCTAATGGTCCGTCCCTAACATCAGTTGCTCTCTTCCAAAGGACGTGCCTGGTTGAGGAGTACATTAAATGAACACTCTTTAGAAAGATACTTCCACAACATGCTGGGAAATAAAACACTTTTGAGGTATGTTAAGTCATTGCATTAAGAAGGAAAAACAGTACGCCCTTCACCAGAGATGATATTAGACGAAAATAATGTGAGCACTATTCTTGACTTTAACCTATATTTTTGTGCATATGACAGTCAGTTTTATGAAAAAGAAGCTTTTCTTATGGATGAAGAGCGCGCCAGCATGCTCCCTATGACTGCTGCAGGTGAGAGTCCATTATGAAGATGTAACTAATACTAGGCTACGTTGAAACGGCGCCGGACGAATTTGCAATTGGCTGAAAAATTTGACCAGACACTTCGTTCACACGGAAGAATGATTTTGTTACTGCCATTTCTGTTATTTGCTATCTAATTTGCGTGTTAAAGAATG